CCGGGGGGGGGGGTTGTACTCATAGTTGTGCATGCCGTAGTTGTTTGACCATTGACCTTGCATCCCTTCAAAGCCGGGACGGAGCACGCCGGGTTTTCACCGGACCAGGCTTTCACATCACCAAGCGGGAAGCGCCGTGAGGTATTTGGCGAGTTGCATGAAGGGTGAGCTGCCATCCTGCTAAGGGTGTTCGGCATCTTGTGCTTACTTCCTTGCGTGCGGATGACAGCTACGTATGACTTAATTTATTTTCTGGTGCTTTCACTTCCAGAGACAGTTGTAAGCACTGTGTAACTGCCTCGAGGAAGCTTGACCATTTTAACACAACGTGGTGCGATCATCCCCCGTTGCGCGGAGTGAGGTTTCTCCACCCCGCACAACATGATCTACTCGACCACCATTATGGTTACCGCCAAAAAAAAAAACGAGGTAAAAAAAAAACGGGAACCTGGTTGCCGAGTTCACGAAGTGAATTGGCTTGTTTTACAACGTCGTTGCCAAGCGACGAAAACCCAATCCCGATGGCAAACACCGAGTGGGGGGCTTGTTTTACAACGTCGTTGCCAAGCGACGAAAACCCAACCCCGATGGCAAACACGGGGGGGGAGGGGGGGGGGGGGGGTACGCAAGTGGAAGGAGGGGTGGGGGGAGACCACTGTAGACGCGTTGTGCGGCACTTGAAGAGGGAAAGGGTGTTGCTGTCGAAACGACGCTCGATTGCACAATATTTGTAGCATGAAGGAAGAGAGTAGTAGGTAAAGGGGGTGGGTGGGTTCAGACCCGCGACAGGGCACTATTTAGCTTGGGGGGATGAGATAGGACGTTGATGTCTGGCCTTGGCGCTTCTGCGAAATACAACTTGTGTGAGTTGACGCCGAGCTGAATCCTCTTTTTCATCGTGCACGGCTCCGGCGTTGTTGGCTGGTTCTCACGGACGATGTAGACAGACGTCTCTGACCTTGTCGCGTGGAGTGGATGCCGAAGTCACTGCTGCGGCTGTGATTGGTCGATCAACCCGGTCAGCGAGCGTCGTAAGTCCTGTCCGACTTTTTCCACCCGGTGGAGGAAGGGAGAGACATGGTCCGAAAAACTCTCGGCCGTTTTTTCTCCGTACAGTAGACGCGATGGATGTCCGGCAGGGTACCAACAGCCCTTCCAGCGAGACTGTAGTAGGAGCGAAAAATGACGGCACGTGCTTAGGTATACGGTGTACGTGGATGCACCAGGGTTGTGGCGCCGAATGTTTACAACCCATGACTTGGGGCGTGTTCCCCAGAAGAGGAAAGACGTCGGGCCAAAGAGACGTGTCTCACGGAGACTCGACAGAGCAGGGGCACAGCCCTACCCCGACACAGGGACTGGACCGCAGGCCAAAGAGTTTTTCCTGGGGGCCACAAACACGGCTGTCACCACTACCGCTCCATTTCAACCCCCCCCCCCCCC